TAGGTCAGTACATCTCCCACTAACACTTTTTAATAATCAGTATATCCTGCAAAACACAGAGACATTAGTGATTCAWGTTGAAGATAGTTTAGTGATWYCAAATATGACTGGCTGTCTGACCTCTTGTTAGAGTGGATTCTGACTCTAAGTTCCAGTAAGGTGTTAAGAGGGTGAAATTATATTTTAAATTGGTATATCCCCCACCCCCAATGTATTCTCTGAATTATAGTAAACCAATCAAAGCGTTGGATCTGTCCTTTCTAATCTTTTTGTTTTACAAGCAATACCAACATGTCTTCTCCTTAATAAGACAAGAAAAGTTGTCATGACACTGCAAAAGATAAAACAAAAGGTCTGTTGCTCAGGCAGATTGCAGTTCTAACCCATGAATAGATCCCTTTAGTTTCATGATTTCACACTTGTGCGGTTGTATTTGCTTTTGCCCTAGACCTCAGGGTAGCTGTTAGAAACAGACATTTTCATCTTTTATTTTCCTCCCTCAGAGTAAAGGATCTTAAGAAAATGTTGGACATTGTTTGGGGTTATGATAATTAAGAGAAAATAATAATTTAAAACAAAGGTTATTATCTTTATAAAAGTAAAGATGACACATCATTACCCACATATACAGAACAAAACAGATTTTGTTYACATTATCATGTGATTCATTTTAAATTTGTTAGTATTTATGAAGCGGTGCATTGAGATAGTTGTGTGCAATAAGAATGTAAAAAAATTCAACAGATGTCCATTATACTTCGGTCATTTAATTAAGGTTTYTTAATTCATCTCTGGTAAATAATTACCCAAGTTTGAAGCTACACTCTCCTCCATTATTCTGAACAGTTTTACATTCCAACCCTTTACTCTGTGCAAGTTTGTAATTAAAAAATCAAGCATTATTAGAAGCTATGCATCGAGTGACTGGATACAAAAAAATTTCAAATATAAAAACAGCTGAAATATGTTTCACACCACCAAAATGCCTAAATAACTGGTTTTGTTTTGAATGCTGGCAATGCATTTTAAAGGCAGTTCACAAGCTGACACGTTTCTGTCTTGCAGTACAAAAGTAGTTAATTTTTCCTCATCTTACAAAAAACAGGCATGAGTGTTGCACCACAATTTTAGACTTATTTTGTCCAATAATGCATAACGTTCTATTTTAGATGTTACTCTTTAACTTGCAAACAAAGAAGACTTGAGCTGCTTTTTGATTACAGTAATCAGAGCAAAGTTTAGTGATGAGCTACAATAAAACTGATTAATAAGTTAATTTTTCATTGTAGATTTCTGATAGTCAATCAAARACAGGATCCTGCAACTTTTTTATGATTTATCAAAAAAAATCTTTGTATTTTCTGATTTAAAAGTAGTTTTTTATCAAGAATATAAAAACAACTTTCTACAACACCATTTCTGAAGGCTCACTAATACTGTATCTAACATTTTCCAGCCAAGGACTTTATTTTTTATTGTGTTTTAAACCCTCTGTTAAAAATCACCAGGCATGAGTTGTATCAGTAAATGTGTTTTGACCACAAGTTTGAGAAAGCATTACATTAGTGCTTGCAAAATAACTTTTAGCAATTTTGTTTTCCAACTTCAAAAGGAAAAGCTGAAATGTTACATAAGGTTTCAAATTCTCGATGCATTTTTAGGCATTCTTACAGTACATTTCATTCTTATAGATGAAGATGCCTCAAAATAAATGTGCAGAGGCTTAAAACTGAATGCATGCGCCATCAAAATATTTGCTTTTGTGGGAGTTTTGGAGAAAAGATGTGTTGAACTATTTGGGCAATTTCTAAGTAAATTTTGTAAATGACATTTGCCGCATGTGACGTTAGCATTGCTTATTACTCTGCCTTTCCAAATCTGTGCATATTCCAGAAGCCGCCACATCTTCAAAGACCCCCATTCACGAACATAGAACACTACAGCAGCCACTTTTCTTCTGCATCTGAGCAATGAAATAAACCCGATTTCTTGACATCACTGCTTTTCTTTGTAGTTATTACTTTTTGAACACAGCTGGGGCCATGTTTTTTCTCATCTCCAGTCTGTTGTATGCTGCAGCCACTTCTAAAGTAGAAAAATTAGCAATTTAATATTATCATGTGAGGACAGTCATGCAAACTGTTGCTTTTTTTTCTCCTGTGTGGGTGTTATTGTATATGTCATGTATGTGTYTGCGTGCGTGTATTCTTGCCTGTGTGTATTCCAGGTCCTGTGGGTGGAACAGCAAGTGGTGAGAAAAAGAAAGAAGAGAGACACCTTTGAAGGCCCCACAGACCCAAATTTTCCTAAGCAGTGGTACCTGGTGTGTAATGATCTCTAATCTTTAGAGTTTTGATATAACTTGATCTGTTGAAAAAATCCTAAATTATGTAATTTACTGTAGCATATTTAGGTAATGTGAATATAATATCAGCAAAAAATTGTTACCACACAGTCYATAAGGTGTTTAAATGAGCTCTTCCTTGCATTCAGCTGGATCGTTTTTTTAAAAGATGTGATATAAAGATGAATGTTTATTAGTGAATAGGTAGAAGATATTTTTAGTTAAGGTTTGCAGTCAGAAACTTCAGTCTRTTGTGGTGGATTATTTTGCTCCTCGTGAAAATTTCTAATATATCTTATCTCACAAGATGATTTGTCATACTACTTATTAAATATTTAAAAAACAGTCCATACGCTTAAGGATCAGAGCTTAATTTCAAGCCAAGAATGCTTTTTAGAACTTGTAATAATCTATTGTCCTGGTCTGTGTGTTTATCTTTAACCATCTCCTTTAACTATATTGCTCACTTTTCTTCTTCTCCTAGCACAACTTTTCTTCTGCCACTCTATGCTCTTTTTACGTTCATTTTTTTTCCTCTCAAAGGCTCTCAAACTGTTATTTACATTTCAAAACAAATGCCTGCACCAGGATTTCTAACGCAAATAGATTGTCTTTTAGTTTGTGCTGACAAAAAATAAATAAAATAAGAAAAGCATGCCTATTCTGGTCAGCTCTTTAAGGKAGCATGGATATATGGAGTTATGGAGGTAGTTACTGTTTTATGATGGAGGACAAATGAGGTACAACACACATATTATAGGTTAACATGACCTTGTGTGCACTGACTGGTGACCTCTAATCGCACATTGACAAGTGGTATATAATAACACATGAGGTCCCACTTACAAATCCATATAGTGTCACGGTTAGTTTTCAYTTTTATATAGTCACTCCTCAAAGAGCCTGGGAATGCAGAAGGGTAGGAAAGTATTGTAGCTTGTCTCTCCTTCAGAGAACAGTAATTATGCACATAACATTATGTTTCATTGACTTCAACACATATTTTATAGGCGACACACACAAGCCCTGTAGAGTAGATCTTGAACCACGGTCAGATCTTGCACATTAGTGCAGCAAAGAGCCAGCAGAGAGGACAAGATGAGCAACCAAAGGGACTGTCACATCCAAACAATGAAACCAAAGAAATGTATTTGTAGTCATCACTATCTGACCACAATGCAGAAACCACTTCTATATACAGACACCATTGCCCCACCCTTGATTGAAAAAACTCTCATGTCATGAGGCGAAGGAAGATTTTAGCTTCCCTGCTGCTGTAAGCAAGAGAGAGAATCTTAAAAATCTTTTGAAACGACTTGAAACATAGCCTTAAAAGGGTCTCTGTCCCTGGTTGAATTGGCAAAACAAATGTACAGGTGATCCCATAAGTATACACTGTGTGTCAGTGTATATGTGCAGTAAACAGAGAGAGAGAGAGAGCACTCTGTGTTTCAAAAGCAAAAGGATGAGAAGAATTTGAYAGCTGAATCACTATAGAGATTTAGTCGGATAAAAAAAACCTTAAAGAAATATTCTTCTCTTTTGCGCATAGTAACCTGAGGGCGCTCAGATGTCAACTAAGTACAAGTGRGATGCAAGGATAGTGCATAAAGGTCCCCAAGCTGATATTTAGTAATCGGAACTAGAAAAAGAGCAGTTGTATATATAAAAAAAAAACATACATACCCATCAATTCACTCACTCAGCCAGTGGGTTACATTAGTGGTAATCAAGCAAAAATATTTGAATTTGTGAAATGTAATCAAATTCAGTCTACCTTCCAATCATTTTTTTAAAATACACATGACCAAGACATAAGCATCTGTCATCACTCTCTCAAAACAAATATCACAAAAATGAGAGTTGTGTAGAAGGAGAGARCTTTACCTAGAAGGTCTTTACCAAAAGAACAACATTGTGTGATTTTATGAAAGCCTATTCACTCAATTCTCAGAGGTGGGAGTTCCAAGGTTTTTCAGATATTGACGTGGAATTTGTAAGAGTTTYGCCAAAACTGGTGGCAGAGTGCACAGGCCTCAGAGTGCTTCAATGCTCTTCTTGAGCAGACGACCTCCAAATAGACACAGCATTCTTCATTTTGGTCTTAATCATGCAATAKGAAGCTACACTCCTTATGATAGGAGCYAACAGTGAATTTGTTTTTTGMTTTTTTTACTTACTTTAGCTTGGCYATTACAGAAGTASACAAAACACACTGCCAAAATAAGCAACCCCACATCAGCAATGAGGAGCAGAAGTGAGCTAGCCTCACTTAATTAAAGTGTTAAAGTGTGCCTTGCAGTTGCAGTGTTAGCACACTTATTGTAGTGTGTTGTATAAAGCAAAAATTAGAAAGGAACTAAATCTTAATTGTTTCTATATCCCTTTAGATCAAATATTGTATTTTTAACGTCAAAAATAAAGGGTCTTCGTTGATTATTTGAGTTGTTTTTCTACTGGCAGGTCATTTTCTACCAGTTTGTTGGGGAAGTATCAGTCACAGTAGATTGACAACTGAACAAAAGGCTTTTGTCTCTTGCAGTCCAATCCAACACATCAAGACCTGAATACCAAAGCAGCCTGGACCCAAGGCTACACAGGAAGAGGTGTAGTGGTGACCATCTTGGATGATGGCATAGAAAAAGACCATCCTGACCTCTTCAGCAATTATGTAAGTGTTAAACACAAAAGCTCAGACCAACTGTACAGTGTGTGCATGACAAAAGCTGTGCCCTCAGCWGGGTAAATTCCATAGGTGTGTCAGGGGTTTAGGTTAGGACTAAGGTGTGAACTGAGTTTAGGTTAGGTTTAAGGTCCAGTATGTACTGGGGCAGTTAGGTTTAGGGTGAGGGTTCAGGTTCAGGCTATTGAAATGACTAGCAAATCAATGTCAGTGCAGTGTGCACATGAGGGTAGAAAAAAGTGTGTGTATGTTTGTATTACAATAACATGTTCATTGCGACCCTGAAAAGGAAGAAGCGTGTACAGAAAATGGATGGATGGATGGATGTATTTTGGGGGAAAAAAGCTTGACTGTTGGGATGATTTGTCTGGCAGTATTGTAAAATCCCACGTAAGAAGACCAAAARATCTTTTAACACTGTTAGGTTTTGGTGAGTTTTCAAACCAGAATTACTTACTTTAWTAAACATGTTAGGTGAGTCTACTTATGGAGTACTTGTGTTGGTGTTTGTGTTTTTGTTTTTATCCTATTGGGCAAAAGCTGACACATTACTGTGTCTTTTCTCAGGATCCTGATGCAAGCTATGACGTAAATGATGGAGACGCTGACCCCCAACCGAGATACACGCAGCGAAATGAAAACAGGTAATTTGACAGCAGCTTTCATAAAACACAAATGAGAAGTTCGTTGTTAATTTGGGTAAGTATYTTTACATTCTGAAAAATAATTTGGAGTGGGGTTTTTTATGCAACTCCAGCTTCTTCTTCCTATAAAACATTAACAAGCACTGGCTTGAAAACAAGTCTATACAGCTTGTGATAGTGATTTACATTTTGAAACTACTTAATTAATGTTCGAAAGCCCCAATGCTTTTGTTTTACAGAGGCTTGAAAGATTATTTTTTTTGCATCAGTACATAAACATAGACTCTGCAGTAGCCCATTAAAGCCCAGCCTTTGCAGCCTCACAGCCATATTTGCACTTATTTGTTCTTACACTGTGTGTTTCTTGCCCTCTGTGATTTATGCTCTTTCTTTCTAGTCTTTGGTGATCACATAAAAACATGTTTGTCCCAATTAAATCATGCAACACTAAAGRTTCACAAGGGATAAATTCTGAGCATCCAGTTCCTCTTTTTTTAACCATTTCTGTAAAAGCTGTGGTCTTCTGCTATAGGCAATCCACCCCAGAGCAGATAAGAAGCCACTTTTGCCTTTAAAATGCACAGCAGGATTTGTCCCGCTATCTTTTCTAAGATGCCTGCCACTAAGTTTTTTCTTGGTTTTTCTTTTTTTTTCCTTTGGTAATTTTTTTTTTCCCAAAATGCACTGTTGATCAGATGGAAAAACTTAATATTCCTAACAAGTTTTAAAGTTACACACAAAGGTGTTGCATGGAAATAGAATCGATTTTAATTAAACTTTCAATATTCATCCATGCACTGATGCATAATTTAAACCTTTTGTTCGAGTTGTGTTAGATTTTTCTGTCGTGTTGTGATATGTGCTCTATTTATCTTGAAAGAATTRAGCATCAGCAGGTTTTAAGCTTATGCCATGTTTCTAGTCCTCGCAGATAGCTTGAGTAGCCATGCAGACCGGCCTCAGCTCTTTCTGTCACTGTGTAGTAAGATCCTACTCTGTCTTGCTGATGGAACAAAGCTCTATCGAAGGGGATAACTCCCTGAATCTGGTTCASTTAAGCTCCCAAAGTGTGCCATGTTATTACTCCAAACCACACAGATAATAAAAGCAGAGGTTTGCGCTCACACACTTTCTTCCGCAATTTTCAGTGGGCCTGCCAGAGCAATTATTTTAGACGTGATCCATTTATGGGCATGAAATGAAAACCAGGTATGTTTCTGTGTCTAAAGCGTGCAGGTTCCATGTCTTGAGTGACCAAAGAAATAATATCTGGTGAGTTATGTAAATAATGTACAAGGAAAACGGGTCACATGTGAGTAATGCTCATAGTTGCCTTCACAATGAGGTTACATGAATTTATTCATAAGACAACAAAAAGCGAAGGGGATTCAGATGTGGACAATTTCCAAAGTCATGAAGGCCAGTTCATTTGTATGGGTGACACGCTATGCTGATTTTTGAATTCTCATCTCGGGCATTTTCTGGGGAGATTCACTGCCTTGAGTTGACAGTTATTGTTGAAAGAGGGCTAGACTTAGTGGAGGCAGGTTGACGTATTGTGAAGGAGGTAATCCATCCGTGCTTCATCATGAAATGTTTGTCCCGTGTCTTTACATTGGTCTTTTTCTCTGCTTACATGTCAGCGTGATACAGATGTATGAGTCTAGGCTTGGAAATATAGAAAATAGGATTGATTTTCCTTCCTGCCCACAAGCTACTAATAGGGCAGAACTATTTTCAGAAACCTGTGCAGCATGGAGTCTATCATTATATTTGATCCTAGTTGTCTCTGATCTATAGCTCTGTCTTTCTATCTGATTTGAAATAGTAAAAAACATTACATTGTTGGGTTTGATCTAAAGGTAAAAATGCTCTTAAGTATTTTTATGCATCTGTTAATTAAAATGAAAATAAATTGTCTTTTTTATTATACCCATTTATACAATCATCTGTTGGGATAAAATTTCTGTAGATTAATATGCATTACCTCAGTGTAATCTGTACATGCTTCTCTAACATTAACAAATTGTTTCGTTTTTGGTGCTRAGCTGTTCATTTCAATGCATAAAAGTGCTCCTTCGGCAAAAACACCAGAAATAAAAATATATATATAAATGCACCGCTCGCTATTGAAAAATGATTATGACATTTGTATTGGAAAATTTTGTTTCCTTAAGACAATAATAACTGTTGGTCAGGTATTTCTTGGATTAAATGGTTGTGTGAATCCTTAGTCCAGGAGGAGTGGCTTCCCACTGATCAGACATGTTGGCTGTACAGATTATTAT